TATGTGATCTAAGGTGCAATTAAAACCCAGGAGGGCATGGAGCTACCTGCCAAGGAGCAGCAGGTAAGCGCATAGTCCCTCCTGCTAGCCCTCAATGACTAAGTGTATTTAAAATTGAGAGGTGGGCAAGGACGTCAGGGGTGAGGTATACACCCTGATGGTAATTTGGATACTTTTATTCTTTAAAGCCAGCTTATGATTCATGATACGACCTGATGCTGAGCACATTTTAATGAGCACTAAATCACCTGAATTTTTACTTTCCACAATAAGTAGTTACAGTAGTGGTTTTTGATACAGGCGACACGGGCGGTTGGTGGTGGGGGGCGGCATCACGGGCATTGGCAAAATAAATAAATAAATAAATTACTTAATTAATAAATTACTCGTACTCATGCTACCAGAAATACACCTGAGACAAAGTGAATCTGTGAACTAAGGTGTAGGTCTATTAGGTTATGTTGTGTTGATCCTCGGGTTGAGGGATGGGTGTTCATACTGGAGTGCAAAATTAAAACCAATGGAAGATGGACAAGAAAGTTCAAAGCCATCAGGTCCTCTGTTTAGAAAAAAGAGAAAAGAAGAGGAAGAGAAACGAGCAAAAGATGCAGGTAAGCAGATGTGTGATTGGATAATGGCAGGTCATCCTGAAACAATCAGAATCAGAATACTTTATTGATCCCTAAGGAAATTATGTGGGTTACAGTTGCTCCAAGAAGAAATGGTAAAAATAGTAACAGTAACAGACTAAACTCCAAATACTGTGTAATACATTATGTTACAGCAGAGTTACAGATTTAAGAAATAGCACTAATACATACAGATCACTCCATTAAATATCAAGGATTAACAGAGGGGATTATAAATAAATATCAAAGATAGATGTAAATAACAATTAGCTGATGTTGTTCATGAGACTAAAGTCATCTCACTGTGGTAATGTAAATATAATATGGCCAATATTATAGTTATTATATTAATCACTTCACTCACAGACAAGTATCTGTGACAGTGTGTATACAGATGTATCATATATAAGAGACAAATGTTGTTCCTTTAATATGTTGGCATTACTAAATTTGGCTCAATGCTTACATATATGTGTAAAAAGCAAATGTACGGAGCTGTGATAACTGTGTCTGATAGAATGAAGAGTAGACTGATATATGAAATATTCCTTTATTGGGTGAGAAAATCAGACCATGTCATAACTGCTGTAAGTCACACAGAATAGATATCAGAGCCTTAAACAGGCTGACGTCTGCTAAATGGGTCAAACTGGGCAGGAAGTCTACAAACACATAACATCCTTATAGAATATGATGTAACACTATAGATCAACTTAGCTCAGAATATATAAAGCATATAAACAGTTACAGCAATATGATGCAACAAACACAGCAGCTACTGATCCAAAATACTCAAAGCTTCATAGAACTGAAACCAACATTTATTTTAGCTCCATTCTGCTGCTGATACAGACTTTAGGTTTCTGAACATTAAACTTGTTGCTGCCTTTCATAGTGTGTAACTTGAAGGCCCTGAGTACTCTGAGTACTTTCTCCCACACTGGAAACACTGGGATGATCACATTATTTGAACATTACCTAATAAGACTGATTCAGCACAGACAGTTATGTTAAACTTTCCTAGCAGTCCTTCACAAACAGGGAACAGTCTGTCTATTCTCTCCATCTGTCAGCTGCTGCTGGCTCTTCCTCCTCCTCTTCCTCACACACTGCTGAGTTTGTCCTGGTGGATCATCAGGGCTGCAAAGCCTCACAGATGATGTGCAGCAGTGGCTCCCTCAGTCTGTCCTCACTCTGGACACTTGCAGTCGTCACACATGGAAATCAAATGTGTGATAAGCTGCAGGATTCAAACACACGTTAAAGTGCGTTTGGCTCGACACCACCGAACAGAGGCAGCAATATAACACAGCTAACATTAACAGTGCAGTGGATCCTGCTTGTGCCGTGATGTTCAGGACTGCAAACCGAGCAGCATCACTGACTTTCAGCTTGTTGTGTTTGTGGATATATGACTGACTTTAATTATCCATAAAATCATCACATTCTCTGTCAGATTAAGGTCGACTATTGAACGGCGCATATTTAAAGGCTTTAAAACCAAGTTAGTACAAACGTCACTAACGTCACATGACTTTGCCGACATGTGGCCAACAGTCATGTTTTAATGTTCTTCATTATTAAACATTCGCACAGAAATAACTGACATCATATTCAGTACTTACTTAAAGTTTACTCTTCGGACGCTCCGCTTCAGCCGTCCACCATTTCTTTTGGGCAAAATTATCCACACATGAATTGTGGGATATATTAGGACCACGAAGTGTACACCAGACCACGCTTCAAATTTGGGGAAATGAACGGCACATCTGGAGTACACTTCAAATTGGGCCAGCCGTCGTCACGTCGCAGTGACTCCAAATGCGCACTACGAAGCGTGCGGTCGTTGGATTGAGACACAGCCATAGACGAACGTTTACTGACCTCAGCAAACACTTTATGTTCTCAGCTGCTAGCTTCAAATCCCACTGAATACAGCATGATGTTAATTTTGTAGTTTGTGGTCGCTGTTAGATTCAAAGTGCATCAAAAAGCAGGATGTGCTTTATGCTGTGGCCACCTTTCAATTCTATTTTATTTTATTTATATAGCTCCAAATCAGTTTCGAGACTATTCGATTGTAAGACAGAGGCGACAATAACACAGAGAGAAGAGAGAAAACACCAACAATCAGATGAGCTGTGCTTCGGAGACAGTGGGAAGGAAAAACGTTGTTTTAATGAGAAGAAACCTCCAACAGAACCAGGCTCAGGGAGGAGCAGCCGTCAGGATTGGAGAGGGGGATGAGCAGTTGTAATGCTCTCCACTTGTCTGAGATGTGTTGACTTTTTTGCATAATGTGCACATTATTCTGTCTCTATATTTATTTGCTGTG